TCTCTATAGTTTATGGTAGTAGGTTCTTTATCTAACTGAAACGGAAAGCAAATGAGGAGATGGATCACAAGCAGCAACCTTGAGTGGAGCGTGGTGATGTTTTAAGGATGCTTTTTAATGTATGATGTACGATTGCTGTATACCTGCCTGTCTAGACTAAAAATGCATAAGCATCACTGTGGTAACAACTCCTCCTTTTGTATGCAACAGTTCCCACTGCAGAGTAAAATATTATTAAGTAAGGAAACACGGTTGCAAGTCTTAAAGATAAAAAGCACATTTTAGAGATAGAATATTTTATTCACAAGCTGGTGTTGTTATTTAAGGCAATTTCAGGCTTGCAAGGCTTTTTCCAGGTGTGAAGTAACAGCAATGAATTCCATGCCAGGAGAGGTGAGAGACACTTCCTCTCACAGCATGGCTGTGATCAGTTCAGACACTTCACCAACTGGTTGCTGCCCAGAAAGGCAATCTGCCCATATACCCTCACTTGTCTGATGCTGTAACAAGACTGTTCATGGTGGAAAGCTAATCCTACAAAATAGATGAAATTTTGTTTTGTATCTGTATGTGCCCACAGACTGTCTTGGAAGATTACATTTGGTATGAGTATTACATTTCATATTTGCTGTTTGCAACAAGGTGGGTTGCTGCCGGTCAGACGGATGATGCATGTTACACAGGCATGTGCCAGCAGAGTGCTCTGGCACACTTCTTGCATATATTGCTCTAGTAAGAAGGCTTCTTCCTCCCACCTTTTTTTCCTCTATTCTTGCTTAATGTATTCATTACTCACTACATACCAGGCAGTTCAGAAAAGTAGGAGATAGCAGGCTCCAGAACAGTTCTATATATTCTTTTTTTGACCTAGTAATGTCATTGACTGTCAGCACTAGCCTCTGTACCACTGAAATCTCTTAGAGGCTTCTTAACAAGAGGAAGACTATAATTTGTGGACTACTTAACATACTTTTGGACTAAAATTCGCCTGGGAGCATCAACTTGTACTTCTGATAAATTGATTTGAATGACTTCTATGGTGACATGTTGGAAAAAAGGCAGAGCTAAAGAGAGCTGTCACATATCATGGAATTGTTTTTCTTCCCCTTCTGCAAAACATGCAAAAAGTGGAAATGCATTAAATGATGCAGAACAAAGAAAGGTAGTTCCAGGTGAAGCTGACTGCTCAATAGATGCGCTTACTCTGATTTAGTTGCCGTGCCTTCTAAGTATTTAAATCAAATGCAGAAAACAATTTGACTATAACAATATAACAATAAAATAGCTCAAAAGCTTCAAAGGAATATGCAGGACAGGCAAGACAAAAAACTTTGTGGGAGATGAAGGCAGGCAGTAAAAGCTTTGTCTGCAAGGCTAAGGATCTAATTTGCCCTTTCCTGAGGCAGAGCCACTTCCAAAGGGCATTTCAACCAGTCCTGCTTCTTTGCTTCCTTTCTTCCAGTGCAGCCTTTAAAAACAGAAAACCTGCGTCACACACAGAGCACACAAATGGGATCCACGTGCAGAATGGGCAGTCAGCATTCTCCAGGAAGAAGACCCAAGATGTACTCTCTGTCAGCCAAGCTCCACAGGATGCCAGAGTATGGAACTGCTGCAAACATGATACCGCTTTCACATCAAACAGGCCAACAGCCATGGACAGGAACAGATGTCCCCACAGAAGCAAATATCACCTTTGCCTGGGCCTTCCCAACTAAAAGGTCAAAAAGACACTGGAGAAGTAGTTCCTCTGGCTTCAGTAGTTCCTCTATTATTAGCAGGTCCTACTTGGGTATCCACATTGGTGGAAGGCACAACTTAACCTCCAACCCTCGTGGGATCCCTAGTGACCAGTGGGCAGATTATGGCAGAGGTATTTTTCCCAAGAGTCCTTCAGAATAGGAATACATGCTTGACTACCAGTGTAACTATTCCTCTCATGCTCAGTGTGGAACACATCCTGCTCTCATCACTTTAACAACTGCAGACCTTTGAACTCCAGACAAAATTTTCCAATCAGCAATCCGGTCACACCAAGGATTGACAAGCATTGCCATCACTGGTGTATTCAATTCTGCTGTACAGAGAATCATGAAAGCCTTAGCAGAGAATCTAGAACTTTCTCAAGTTTCCTCAATGTGTAGGTCAAATGCTGGTGCCTAGGACACAACCCTCCTATGGAAAGATAGGAAGTTTTCCTTTTTTGTTCTGATCCCAACATTAAGCCAGTTCTTCACCTACTGAACTGTACAGCTGTCCAGGCTATAAGTAGCCAGTTTCTCTAGAAGAACGCTGTGGAAAAGTAACAAACTACTAAAATCCAGGCTCCACAAAACTGAAGTTCTTTGCACCTAGCTGGTACAAAGAAAATCTATTTTGGAAGGCTTACCCATGTGCTCTTCCTATGCAGACAGTAAGCACTTCTTTGCCTGCCCTAGCTCTGACTGAGAATCATCACACGTCTCTGAGATGGAGCAGGCAGCTGTGGCCCTTTTCTCTGAGAATGGCTGAAGCACAATTTCATTCATAGCATCACAGAATGGCCTGGTTTGAAAAGGACCACAATGATCATCCAGTTTCAACCCCCTCTATGTGCAGGTTGCCAACCACCAGACCAGGCTGCCCAGAGCCACATCCAGCCTGGCCTTGAATGCCTCCAGGGATGGGGCATCCACAGCCTCCTTGGGCAACCTGTTCCAGTGCATCACCATCCTCTGAGTAAAAAACTTCTTCCCAATATCTAACCTAAATCTCCCCTGTCTTAGTTTAAATTTAGATCAGGGACTACTGTTGGGGCATTGTGCATGCTTACTAGACTCTTCCTATCTTATGGATTCATCTTGTGGCTGAGGCAGAAGGTAGTGAGTGAGAACTGTGATCTTGTCTTATCTTTGTCTTGTCTATCCTTGTCTTAACTCATGAACTTTTTTGCATCACATTCTCTCCTTTTCAGGAGGGGAATGGAGAGGGAAGTGTAATGGAGCTTAGTGAGTGAACAATATGAAACCATCACAGTTGTTCACTCTCTCCAGTAGCTTCCAGAGGTGTTGCAGGTTTCATTTCCTGAGCTGTGCTTGATACTCTGCCTGCCCTTTAGACTCTGTGTAACTGGTGAGCTGGGAGTCATGTGGGAATCAAATAAAAGCAGCATGGGTATTTTTGCATGAATTCTGATGTGGTTCTGTCAAGAAGAATCCCCAGTGTGGTCTGCTACCAGTCCAGCCTATGCAAGAGGGCTGCACTTCCTCAGTTCTTTCCATGGAGCCCTTCTGGTCTTCTTCTGGGGCCTTGGTTTTGGGGATGAAATGCTTCATGTGTCTGGGGCAACTTATGCAGGAGCTGCCTCACGTTTTCAGTGTCATAGGAGCTGACAGGCCTTGCAGAACAATGTACTGAAGAAAACCTGGCCTAGTGAAGCACTGCCCAGTTTCCAAGAGGCAGTCCTTTTCTTTTTTTTCTGAAGAATGGATGCGCAGACATGGCTGAGTCAGAAGGGCCATCAGGTCCCCTCTTGTTTGGCTGAGGGAACACTGAAAGGAAAACCATGGCTGCCAGACTCTAATTCTTTAATGATACAAGAAAAACAATATTTAACTTTCTTAGAAATTTCCAGTATTGCTGTTCTCAGATGATGCACTGGTAAAATTAGTGTTTTTTGTTCTTTTATAAGATTTCTCTGGGGTGATCTGCAATTCTCCACTTGAATTCTGAAAGTCAAGCAATCCAATCTTTGTTTTCCTGGCATGCATCTACAGCAGTTGGTTTCCACTTTCCTGTTATTCTCTCATTGCTGGGTTGTCCAGAGGATCTCAACAAGCCAAGGAGATGCTGAGGAGATTTTACTGCTCTCAGTTCTCACTGACTTATCAGTTTCACTAAGCAGTATTTTGGAACATGCTTAGTGCCTGTAACAACAGAACTAGCTGAGTGTCAGAATCATGACGCCCAAGTTAAGATAATAACTGGAAACACAGCTTGTAAGCAGAAGGTGACTATCTCCTCCCAGCCAGCTGTTTAAGAAATTGGATGTCAGGGGGAAGTTCTTTACAGAGAGAGTGGTGAGGTGCTGGCACAGGCTGCCCAGAGAGGTTGTGGATGCCCCGTCCCTGGAGGTGTTCAAGGCCAGATTGGATGGGGCCCTGGGCAGCCTGGTCTAGTATTAAATGCGGAGGTTGTTGGCCCAGCATGTGGCAGGGGGGCTGGAGATTCATGATCCGTGAGGTCCCTTCCAACCCTGGCCATTCTGTGATTCTGTGAAAGCGGCAATGAATCTATGATAAACATAACACCTCTGACGCTCCTGAAGCGCGATGCTGAACTCCACAAGCGGTGCGGACGCATTTCACCCCCCGAGGTGCTCCCGCGGCCCCTCCTCCTCAGGCCGTCCGGCGGCGAGGGCCGAACCGGCGCCTCCGTCAGTCACGCAGCGGCGCGGCCCGCCCCGCCTCCCCAGCGCAGCTCCAGGAAGCCGGAAGCGGCCGGTGGGCAGGCTGGCGAACGGCGCTGGGTGCGTGGGGCCGGGGCCGGTGGGCAGGGCGGGGCGGGGCGGGGAAAGGTAGAGGTCAGGCCGCGCCGGTGGGCGGCCGCGGCCCGGAGGGAACATCTATACCGGGCCGCCGCCGCTCTGGGGAGGAGGCTCCGGTTCGCTCGCGGGCGGTGGTGGGGCCTTCCCGGGAGCTGCGAGAACCTCGAGGAGCGCGGCGGAGCGGGGCACCCGCGGAGCGGCCCCGTCTGGGGCGCGGCCTGCGGCCTGTGTGTCCGCGGCCCCAGCGCCGGCCGTCCGAGCGGCTGTGGAACTAACGGCGTGCGCCCGGCGGCCGCTCCGGCACCCGGCGGCTGTCGGTGCGGGAGGGCTGCCCCGCTGCGGAGTCTTTAGCTGCGGGTGGGGCCGCCGCCGCCTCCAGCCCTGTGCGCTGAGCGCCGGGCCGCTGCGGGCTGCGCGGCTAGGGAGTCCCGAGCGGAGAGGCGGGAGGCGGCGAGGGGAAGCGGGAACTGGAGGGGAGGAAACTTCCTTCCTGAGAGATAACAGGAGGGGTACTGGGCGGAACGCTGACGTGTTTACGGGCTGTGAGGAGCCTCGGCGCCTTGCCTGGCAGCCTTGGTGGCGTGTGGGACTTTGCGTGCGGGCAGCGAGAGCCCCGCCGCCTGCCCGGCCCGCTCAGCTCCGTGCCCGGCTGCTGGCGGAGCTGCTGCTCGCTTAGCCGTCCCGTAACTCTGCGTTAGTTCGCAGCAGCCGTTCTCCATGTCATCAATGCAGCTTTTTCTGCTACTGCCCCGCTGCTGACAAGTAAAGAGGCAGTAGCCAGACACTGAGAAGTATTCAAGGCACCAAAAAGCAGACCCCGACCCAGCAGCCTGCTAACAAGCCGTGGGGAGAATAAATCAGTGCTTCATAGGAGACTTTAAGGCCCGTGTAAGGAACTTCTGACTCATCTTGTGTGAAGTTTAGACAAAGTGACCATGAGATTTGAAGGAATAGATCACTTGGTGTTGAATCTAGTAACAGGACTAGTCCTACGGATAGATGTGCACGTGTTTTGTGAACGTGAAGCTCAGTGACCTGGGAAGATAACGGAAGATGTGAAAAGGAAACTTGACAATACCGTGTCTTTAGGGAAGATCCGTGCTGAGTCAGTCTGAGAAATGAAAAGCGTCAGATCAGTGGAGATCTAGCATGTTGTATAAGTTTTTAAATCTGTTTTTTTATAATTTGAAGACTGATCAAAACTGCGTGAGGCTTTATGACCTTAAAGAGAAGACTGTGCTAAGAGAGCAAGGACTTTGTTCTTATTTATAAACATACTGTTTTGACAAGAGGCATAGTAGTGCAACACTGACACTGGTAGGTACCTAGTGCTAACACTGGTGTAATTATATCTTTAGTTCCGTAAGTTAAAAAGACAGACATCGAGAACCTGTTAGACTTATGTTTTTTTTTTTTAAATCCACTGAATTATATTCAAGCTCACCTGTCACAGACTTGTTCTTTTGTTGTTTTCACCCAGTGACCTCAAAACAAATTTATTTAGGAAGTAGGAGGGTAGAGGGGGAGGGCCGGCCTGTAAGTAAGCTGCTTCATCTCACTTTGGGCACTGTGATGACTCTATTAGGCCACTAACATTTCTAGTATTGGAGTGGATATCAGTGAAGAAGCTCATTGATTTGATTCATCTATGTACTGTCTGCTTAAGTAGGATTCATCTACAGGAGTTGCCTCTGGAAGAAGTTGGTACTCAGAACTGGAGATTATCTTAGAATTAACAGAACTTTAAGGTCTTGTGTGTGTATAGAGGTGTGGTTTTTTGTTCAAATTCAGGAGTTTCTTGTTAAGATTTGGGAGAGAATCTTTCTTTCCTTCTCTGGGCATAAAGAACTAGGTTTAGAAATGCTATCACTGAATGATTCTGGGCTTAGTGTGGAGTAATGGCATGTCTTTACATTGTATGGTTGCATTCTGTGCACTCCATGACATTACTTTGATGTTTTGGGACAGCTATACCTGAAGCTCCACACCTTACATGAGCCAATAGCTAAATAAAACCATAAAATCAGTAGTTGTTGTGCATGGAAAGATGTGCCCAAAGCCAGAGAAGGCTTCTGCCTCTTTGCACAGCAGGTGCGTGGCCTGAAGCAGGGGCAAAGCACGCTGCTGCTTGCTGACTGGCTTCAGTCATTGCCCTTGGGATGCTCTGCTGCAGGCAGTGCAGAGAGGCTGCTACTGAGGGACCTGCCCCTGCACTGGTCTGTGTCCTGCTGCTAGGATTCTTTAGGTCTGGGGAAGCTGCCTCTTTAATCTTCCATCTTTTTGCTCAATTTAATAGCAAAGTTAGTGCTTTGATTAAACCAGAAAGGTAAAGGTGTTCAGCTGCAGCTCCTGCTGGTTTGGCAAGGGGGGGAAGGCTTGTGCTTCTGTTTTATTAATCATTTTTATTTAATCAAATTTTTTTTCTTTCTTTTGAATCTGTGAAAGCTGATGTGTTTGACACCTTGTAGTCATTGGAGGGTGGGGAAGCCCGGTGGTATTGAAAGATGACATGGCATACCACATGTGGAATTTCAGAAATGAGAGAAGTGTCCTCTGATTTCTTCCAGTGATAATCACTGGCTCAGCAAAGAGCTGATAATATTTATGTTAATTGTGACTTTTACCTAGCTCATCTCATGGGAGCTCATTGTAAGTAGTTAGTGCAGTTTCCCTATAGCTGTACTCAAGCACAAGGCTTCCATTATTGAGTTGTTCCTAGGACCACGTTGATCTAAAACGTGCCTTTATCTGCTTTTCCTTTTTGTCTTGTGTGTTTTTCGGTGTTACATACTGAATAATGGGTGGTCCTGCTGATCGTGGTGCTTATTTTGACTCTTTCTTCTAATTTCCATTGCTGGGTCATTTGAAAACATACGTACATATTGTATGGTTTTGCTTTTGCAGCTGATCTTTCAAACAGTATTTTGAGTAGGAAGGATCTCAAATGCATAGAAGCGTTGTGTCATAAGCATTCGTTTTGATTTGTGATAGTGTTGAGCTTGGTTTTGGTTCTGTGTTTTACCTCTTAATTTTCTACCTGGTTCTTTTAAATTATCTTTGTATGTTTTTGGATTTGTGTGTGGGTTTTTGGCTTTTGTTATCGAGTTGTTTTGGTGTTTTTTGTGTTTTTTTTTTTTTTCTTGTAATTATGAAGTCCCCATTGTGCATTTTCTTAAAATATATTTTGATATATTTAACCTTTTTGTTTTTAAGGTCAAAGCCAAAGCTGTCTAATAGGAAAGCAAAGATGCAGAGTACCTCGAATTATCTCTGGCTGTTGTCTGACATTCTAGGACAAGGAGCTACCGCAAACGTTTTCCGGGGACGACATAAGGTTTGTGAAGAGTTACCAACAGAAATGAAACATAAAACTGAAGTTTTTATCCTTATGGTTATGGAAGTTCCTTAAGTGTTATGGAACTGATAAAAAGCTGTTAAATGTTTAGGCCTAGAGCAAATGCATTTTTCTAACTTTTTTGCACATAGTTCTTAATACTTTTTGTCTGTTTCTCCACTGAATTTGAGTTCTATACAGTTACTTCTGAGGATTTGTTTGTGATATTAAATATATCTTTGTGTTATATATTTGCATTCATATATCTTTGTAAAATACTAACGGTTAAAATTAATCCCTCCACTTATCAATTTGCCTTCCACCTTGCTTAAGAATTTAAATAGAAACAAAAGTCTTGTCAGTTTCTGCTACCTGAGTTTCTTTAGTTTCTTTGTTGCTTTTAAATTCTCTTTTCATATTTTTTTCTCTGATCTCGTACCATCAACACAATATCTGTAACGTGTTCTCATCTGTACAATCAATGAATATACAGATGATATGGTACATCCAGCAGTTTGGCTGATGTAATTATTATACTAGAGTAGGAAAGTAGGACATTCACCCATATCCTGGGCTCACGTGGTAAATTCCAATGGAGTGAATCTCCAGAAGAGATCCTTCCCCACTGCTGTTCGGCTCTTAAATAGGTCTAGGAGAGATGGAGCCTGGCTCCACCTGGTGAATTGCCTTCACCTGTGCTCCTGTGGCTGACTCATTGCTCACCTCAGGTGATCAGTCAGAGGTTCAGGCCGTGATTTAGCAGCCCCATACATCATCTGATTCAGTTGCTGTAATATTCATCCTTACATCAGTGCTTCCAACATATGTTGGACACTGTCTTTTGGAGTGATGTGCCTTGAGTAATCAGTACAAAGCACTGCATCTTGGAGCAGTTTTGCCATATAAATGATGTCCTGCTGTGTTACTGTGTTGTAACCCAAGGAGCTAAAATGACCTTTCTGTAGTTCATTCTATTCCAATGAATTCTGTGGTATGTCTCCCCAAATGAAGAAAAGCCTAGTTGTGAAAGTGGCATTCACTTACATAGTAATAACACTGTCAAATAACTATAAAATTATATATAAGCTACAGAGTTTGCTACAATCCCCAATCTATGTGAAGCAACACTGAGCAGTATTTTAGCAGTTTATGTACTTTTTTGAGTGAGTGAATTTCAGCACAGCGGTTCCTCTGTAAAGCTTATGGTTTCATGGTTGCACCTCTCATCACTCTCACTGTTCTGATAACATGACTTGCAGCTTTGTGTCAGTGGCAGAAAACCTTTACTGAGGCACCAGCAGTGCATGTAAATGTGCTGTACAACTTCCCTAGGTTAAGCACAGGAAGGCTTCAGTCTTGAATCTCTCACACATGACACTGTCAGTGTAAGCTTGTTCTTAGAGTGCATGCAGGGAGCTGCTTTGCCCCAGGAGTTGTGTGGTAAACTGGTGCTGTGGGTGCATGAGCGTGCTAGGGCTTAATTCCACCTGACAACTTCAGTCTGTTACTGTGCCCCTGATCATGCATGCCCAAGACTTGCTTGCTGGGTGGGTTTGAATCTCTTCTGGATTTTGCATGAGTGATATGTAGTGCTTGATGCTGCCTTCTGTGATAAAATACGATATTACTTGGTTAATATAAGCAAAGCACTAAACAAAAAGTTGTCTTCTAACTGTAGAAAGTGAAGACTCTTATCTGTAGGATGTGCAAGTGGTTGACCTCTTGCTGACAAATTATTTTCAGTGGAGTTCGTTGTTGGTTCTTCCATGTGCAGCCTTTCTTATGCTGACTATTCTTTATTTAAAAGCACTTAGATTTGTGGGGTTAAATCTGGGTTTCCATTTTTCCAGTCTGTTTACTTCTAGCCTACGTTAAACTAAGTTAATACATAATTTTTTTTTTTTTTTAGGAGAATCTTAACTTTCATTTAAAGCAAAATACTATTTTGAGGTATTTCTAATCTGGTTTAGCTCAAACAACAGAAGATCTCAGAATGCTTGGATAATGGATATGTGCATATTTACAGTCTTAGGCTTCTGGTTGATTAATCACTGGTTGTTTGTTTTGTTTTTAACAGAAAACTGGGGATTTATATGCTGTCAAAGTATTTAACAGTATAAGTTTCCTTCGTCCTGTGGATGTTCAGATGCGAGAGTTTGAAGTATTGAAGAAACTGAACCATAAAAACATTGTCAAGTTGTTTGCTATTGAGGAAGAGGTAATAAATTGTTGTAGTTGGGAACCAAGGTACACAGTAGTAACCACAGTACCTTGTCTTTTTGCTTTATCTTCACTTAGATACAATAAACTTAGATTTTTAAGAACAGTAATTTATGTGATAATATAATACTCAGGTATTCTGAGTACTCAGGTACTCTGACTACCCTTCTTTTATTTTTGTCACTGTTAAAACAATACACTTTGTTTCAGTGTTGAGATACAGGTTTTGTTTCTTCAAAGCCATCTCAAGAAGGTGCTGTGATAAGGCTTACAGTGAAATGGCATTTTTAAGTTAGCCATGTAATATGTAATACGTACTGATAAGATGTAGAAGCATTAAGCAAGGTGAATGTAGATAAAATACAGTAAAAATTCAAAAATTGGAGATGTTTCAGTAATTCTGGCAGGTTTATGATTTTGTTTTATAACCAATTGAAATAATGACATAGTACTTCTATCTAGGAGTATGAATTACAGTGCTAAAACTTGAGACCGCTTGAGATGACTCGGATACTGAGACTGCTAGATAAGAAAGGAGGAGAATTGCTGCTGTCTGCACTTCTGCTCCTTAGTTTTTTGTTTGCCCACCTGTTAATATTGCTGTCTACCCTGTAAGGACTTAGAACTCAAGGCTTTCTTCATCTCTGTGTTAGAACATGTGAAACAAAAGTGATCTGCGTTTCTTTTCAAAATCTCTAGAATGATATTTGTGATTTTGCTACTGATTTGCTTCATTTTCGGAAGTGTGCTCCTGTTCTGCTTGTGTTTTCTGACATTATTTTCATAGTATTCACAAACTTGTCCTTTGTGATTGTTTTCCAGACAACAACTAGACACAAAGTGCTAGTTATGGAATTTTGTCCGTGTGGAAGTTTATATACAGTTCTAGAGGAACCATCCAATGCCTTTGGTTTGCCAGAATCAGAGTTCTTAATTGTGTTGAGAGATGTAGGTATGTAACCTTTGCTCTTCAGCCTTGTTGAATTAAACAAACTTGTACTCGTTTTGTTTATCGTCAGACAGCGAGAGATGAGAAGTTTGAATTAGTTAAGTAATTCAGCAAATTAATTGGCCATGTGGAGTCATGGAGTGTGCATCATGTTGGTGTAGCTGAATTAAGAAGCAAAGCTTTAAACATTTTTATTCAGATAATTGCCATTTTGCTTGCCAGTTTCAAGATTATTTGTCACTTTGCATTTGACTGATTTCTAGTGATCATTAATCTCAGAGGAGGAAATTAGCAATAAAATGAGTTTTACCTGTGTCTGCCTGTCATTAGTAAAACATCTGCCAGTACTTAATGGAAAGGATGCTATTGAGGGCAAGAAATAAAGTAAGTTTTCTAATTTAAAGAAAAATGGAATAATGCTTAGAAAATTTTCTGGTCTTGTTGTTATTTCTCTTCTTGTTTTCACTTCCCAATGAGAAAGTGAACACGCATGTATTCTTAGCTTCAGTTACACGTCAGCATTTATGCAGTAAGTGCTGAGATGCACATCAAATTCTGCTGTTCTTTTCTTTTCTTTTTTTAATCAAAGTGGCTGGGATGAATCATCTCCGGGAAAACGGAATAGTGCACCGTGACATCAAACCAGGCAACATCATGCGTGTTATAGGTGAAGATGGTCAGTCTGTCTACAAACTGACAGACTTCGGTGCTGCAAGGGAGCTTGAAGATGATGAACAGTTTGTTTCTCTCTATGGCACAGAGGAGTATTTAGTAAGCCTGTGTGATTTTACTTTCTGCTGAAAAACTGTTTAAAGCTTTTGTGGCAATAGTTGTATAGGTATAGTTCAGACTATTAGAAATTAATAATTTCTCTCCTTGTATTACACTCATGTTTAGAACTTTACACCTTCTTTACTGAGTCACACCAGTTTTGACGTGGCAGCAGAACTTTAAGGAATTTCCAGGTCTAATTTTTTCGGTTTCCTTAGGTGTAAGGAGTAACAACAGTATTTTAGTTATGAATATCTTTGTCTTTATTCCTGTAGATATTTTCTCAGTTTGTATTTGAGCTAAGTGCATGATGGTGAGTGTAGTTAAAATTTATTACTTGACATGGTGGTTGAAAAGAGAGAGATGAGCAGAGAAGCACCAGTTCAAGCATCTTAGATGTAGTAGTCTTCCTGTTGCCTGAAAGTTTTCTTCCATGTGTAGCATTGTAACTGATACTCTCCTTTGCTATGGACTTTTTTCCAATTTAGCTTTTGTTGCTTCACTATCATCTGGATGAATAGTGGTTTTCTGCTTTACTTTGAGGGTGACAGAGCACTGGAACAAGTTGCCCTGAGATGTTGTGGAGACTCCTCTGGAGATATGCAAAACTCAGCTGGGTGCTTTCCTTTGCAATCTACTGCAGGGAACCTGCTTTAGCAGGGGGTTGCACTGGATGATCTACAGAAGTCTCTTCTAACCTTTATGATTCCAGGCTGGATGTGGCTCTGGGCAGCCTGGTCTGGTGGTTGGCAACCCTGCACACAGCAGGGAGGTTGAAACTAGATGATCATGGTTGTCCTTTTCAACTCAAGCCATTCTATTATTCTGTAATTGTCTTCTTTGGTGCTGTTATATTCTAGTAGTATAGTTTTGACTGAACTTTAACATACTACTGTCAAAACTAGAAGTAGCTATCATATACCTAAGAGCACTTCGTGGTAATCTGTTGGAATAATTTAAGCAAATTCTGTGATGCCAGCTAACTTTGTTTTTTTGATTAAAGAATTTGCTGTGAAATTATTGTGGTTTTGTTCTCGACATTATTCATAACGTGATTCAACATTCTTTTTATCTACTTTTTTTTCCTTCCAGCATCCTGATATGTATGAGCGAGCAGTTTTGAGGAAAGAGCATCAGAAAAAGTATGGAGCCACAGTTGATCTGTGGAGTATAGGGGTGACCTTTTACCATGCTGCAACGGGGAGTTTGCCTTTCCGACCCTTTGAAGGGCCTCGTAGAAACAAGGAAGTGATGTAGGTAATTTAGAAGGTTAATTTTATCTGTTCATAAATAAAAAATATGTACATTAAATGCTTTATTTTTTTTTAAGAAATCCCATATATTTGCTGTAAACAGTGAAACAGTGAAAATATTTAAGGCATAACGTTCTTCAAAATTCTCCTTCAGCAAGGATTTTAATGTGTGAGGCCTTCAGACTTGAATTAAGCATCAGAGCTCCTCCAGAATACCAGTGTTTTTCCACACGTTTCCTTCCCCATTGCAGTAGGTTGGTCTGTTGCAGTGTGGTGTGTGTAACCTGAATATTTGTATAAAGTTGCAGTACTCTGATTTTTTTTTTTCCAGTTTTTTTCAGTGCTGCAAAAGTTTGTTGTCTTTTTATATGATTGTCTCTCCAGACTGTCCTGGAATGCATACGCTACACATCAGGCTAATGTTTGTTTTTTTTATCAGACTGTTTTGCTTATTTCATGGAACCAGGTACTACAGCTAAAGATAACAGGTAGCTCCCAAATGCAAAACAAAACTTGTGATAGTAACATGCCTGCTGGAGTAGATTCATTTTTCATTTTATTCTAGTGTTCTTCTGTATGTTACATTTAAAAAACAAATCAAGGTGGTAGCTGGAGATTCTGATACTTGTAAAGCTCCTCTGTACTGGTAATGCTCGTTGAGGCTGATTTCAGTTTTCTTAGTTTAAGGAACTACCCATGCTTTGTTTCTCCTACAGGCATTCTCATCTGTTTCGTGCTCGTTTCTTGCTTCTCTGTCAAGCAGGCAGGAGTTTTGTGTGTAGTTCATCCTCTGAGAAAAGAGCACAGCTGAAATTTCATTTTGCACAAAGCCTATTGCTCCTGATGTATTTCATGAGAAGTTTGAGAAATACCAGCCTGCTAGGTACAAAGTTAGACAGTGCTGAATTGCATCCAAATTGCTGAATATTTCCATGTTCCAGTAATTTCTCGAAGCCCACCTTCTGTTCCTTTTTTGATCCTCAGGTGACTTTTTGGTAGTTAAGCGTCATCCCTTGCCGTGGAACATGCTACAAGTTAGTCAAGTGAATTCCAACATTAGAGGCTTGGCAATCTGATTTTGATTAATTACTGCTTGTGAACAAACTGTGGTTTCTTACAGTAGTACCTGAGATTTCTTCCATTTTTTTTCTCAAATCCAAGGTAGAAAAAACTGCTTTCTTTTCCAACGTCGTTCAAAGCGTTTCGTCTTCACTGTTCACTATTTTAACACTACTTGGTGCCAGCCTGAAAGTGAAGCTCCCTGATTATTGCACCACCTCAAAACAACAAGCTGGCCTAACATTTACTCTTGCTTCAGAATTTATGTTATTGATTCTGTTTTAAAGGTCAGTTTGCTAGACTTGTGTATAAGAGGTAACAATTTGTTTATGTTGTATTAATAATGTGTTGCAGGTATAAAATAATCACTGGGAAGCCTTCTGGTGCTATTTCTGGAATACAGAAAGCAGCAAATGGACCAATTGAATGGAGCTGGGAGATGCCAATTTCTTGCAGTCTTTCAAAGTAAGTTTGAACTCAGAGTGTTTCAGGGCTACTTCATTGTGCTTTTGCAGTTCTTTCTCAGCACCGGTCCTTCAGAACAGAGATCTGACTGTTGGTTGCAGTTGTTTTCTTTGAACTCTTGTATAATTCTACATAGTGTACTGATTGGGTCATCAAGTGTTCTTTCTTTCCATCTTTCTATAATATTTATACTATGGTTAATTTACAAATGAGCACCAGAGAATCTGAAATATTATGAGTAGAATAAAGATTATTACTATTTTTATCCTCCCTCAGAAAGGAATATGAAGACTTAATAAACCTTGAATTGATGTTCTCCATTCCTCCCTTTCTGAAAGAATGTGATGTAACAAATCCCAAAGGTTAGACAGCAGAAAATGATACGGAAAAACAGTTCCAAAATGTACATTTTTTTACATCTTCTATTTTTTTTTATCATTTATTAGTATTTTTCTTTCTTATTTCAAAATACTTCATAGAAGGAGCAATGCAAGACTGATTTAGACAAAGAATAATTCATACTGATACCGATGTACATAAAGGGAAGACACATGTTCATTGCAATATAACCATGCCTCAGTGTTTCATAGGGGATTAACAAATTTCTTTACCAAACATGTTTTAAGATCATGTTGAGGTCAGATTTTCACATCTCCATAACTTGCTTACCTATATTTCTTATAGAATCATAGAGTCACAGAATATCCTGGGTTTCACAAGAACCCTGACACACACGGATTGTTGAGTCCAGCTCCCAGCTCTACATAAAACCACCCCAAAATAAAAACCTGTGTTTGAGAGTGTTGTCCAAATTCTCCATGAACTCTGGCAGCTTGGGGCTGTGACTACTGCTCTGGAGAGCCTCTTTCAGTACCCAACCACTCTCTGATGAAGAACTTTTTCCTAATATCTGTTCTGAACCCTTCTGAGTCTTCAGCAATGTAAAATGGCAGGTGTTTTTAAGTACCTTGCTGAACGTTTATTCAAAGTTGTTTTTCATGGTGAAGGGCAAATGAAATTTTTCTGTGAACAGACTATAGAAACAAACTTTCTGAAAGCCAAATATGTTGATCCACAAGGAATGTAGTGTGGAAGTCTGTTTTTTATTAATTCATTAGTTCATAAAGATAAATTTATTGATTTACAGCATGCAGAACTTACCATTTATACGCTTTATTCATGGTATTGCTTAGTTGTTTTTTCTGTTTACTCCATTATAATTTGATATGTTTTAAATAATAAAGGAAGCCTTTTTTTTTTTCCCTAGATGTCTACTTAGAGGAATATTTTCAAATAGCATTTAAACAGCATTTATTGTTGCATATTTAGACTGCAGTGAAATGGAGCTTTGAAGAAGCTGTCCATGATAACACAGAAGCAGTGTCCCTAATCTTCCTTACAAGTCAGATTTTTCAAAGTAAAAATGCCAAGAAACTTATTTGCCTTTTCATAGAATAGTAAAGGCTGTAAGGCAAGTTTCCCACTTTCCTCTGCAGATGGTGAGCAGCATGTGTCAAATGCTTGTTTGGCCCCACCTCAATCAAGGTGTGTTTTTGTTAGCACTGGCAATTGGCAATTCAAATAATAAATCTTTGCTAACCAAGCTGATTCTGACTGAAAGCAACGTGCAAAGCAGCTCAATCAGCAAACTTAACTGGCAGTTACCTCCTCCGAAGTGATAGGCCGCTCTAAGTGTTGATGAGAGCTCAGTAAAAGATCATTCCCAGCAGTGGTAGAACACTAACTTAGCTCTAAGATGTAGACTTCCTAAATTGCTTGTCATATTTTTTTTTTCCAGTGAGTATGAAATTAGTTATATACCAAGGAAAAATAGGTGATAGTCAAGCCTCAAATGGTGTGTTATAATTGAACAATGGGCATTGCCATTAAACGTTTTGTTTTTATACAGAAGAAATTAAAAAAGCAGTGGGATATTCTTCAGGGCATAATAGACTGACTTATGTTCATGAGGCAAGTAAAACGTGGAAAGGTCCGAGTTGTTTTTATGTCTTCCTGGTGTCCTCTAGGGGTCTGCAAGTACTGCTCACACCTGTCCTTGCAAATATTCTGGAAGCAGACCAGGAGAAATGCTGGGGCTTCGATCAGTTCTTTGCAGAGACGAGTGACATACTGCACCGAATCATAATCCACATCTTTTCGCTCCAGCAGATGACCTTGCACAAAGTTTATATTCACAGCTACAATACGTAAGTGTTACCCACTTCATTTCTTTGCATTTCTATTCATTTCTTTGCTCTTACTCAGGCAAACTGCACTGTGACCCGAGAGCATCAGTGTTACATATGTGGTCGCCTCTCCTTGTCAGTGTGTCTGAGAAGTGTGACCTTGTAATTCTTGTGTGTATTCACAGTGCACAGAAATATGTTGATCATAAAAACATTTCTAACAAAAATAAAATGTTTGAAGGTCAAATCAGCAGATTTTAGATTGGACTTAATCAGTGACATAGCACAGATTTGATCTATGTCTTTTTACAGTGATTTTGTGTTCACAGTGGATACCAACTCAGCCCAGGTTTGTCTGTGCTAAGTTTTCCATACATCCTATTCACTAAATAATTTTTCACAAAACATGTTCAGCTCTCACTGTGCTTATCTTGTCATCAAGGAAACACAATGCACATAGTCTCTGTGTCTGATGTAAAAAAAAAAACTCTTGCAGACTTCTGGAGTTGTATTGCTACAAGTTAGTAGTGATATGGAGTTCACTTCATGACCACAAAGCACTGATATTAAAAGCTATAGAGTCTGACTTACAGAATGATGCAAAAATAAATTACATTTCCCTGCCTTACTGCAGATAATGCGAAGAATGAATTATTCTTTCATAAGAGAACAGATGCAGTTATTTCATCAAATTTGTACATAAATTTCTGGTCTTTTCTAATTCTTCTTTTCTATTCAGTACACTGTATTGCCTGAGTACTATTTTTGCAGTGAAATCTTGCTTGTAGCTCTAATTGCTATTTGTACTTTATTTTTCACTTATTTTATTATAATTTACCTTTCTGAGTGTTTGTATGCTATCTGTAGTATTAAGAGGTGACACTGCCTCCTGTGCAGCACTGCAACAAACTGGTCCTTCCTACTTTGTTTGTTTTTTTGTTGTTGTTTTTTGAAGTTGTACTTCTTGTGTTGTATTTTAATTCTTGTATTGTATCCTTTGCTGAATTTGAAACACCAGAGTATTCTTGGCCATCTCAATCTCTGCTGTTTCAGGAGGTAAATCTGTCTGTCTCTTCACTTTAAGTCTGAATTTTGGGTGTATGCTCTTTGACGTGTAAAATTACTAGATTTTTCTCTTGGAGAGACCATCCATATGTTGTTAAGAAATCAGTGTGCCTGAAGTGCTCATCCTTCTGCTTTTACCAACGTTCAGAGTTCAGGGCAAAGCAGGCTTTGTTTATGCAGACATTCACAAAAGGTGGTGGAAAATCAGAGATAAATGCAGAACTGTGATGTTTTGCAGGAAACAGCATCTGTTTTTGTATCAAAGCAAGCTGGAGCTTTGGGCAGTGCTGTTTTGTCTTCCAGGTCAGATGCTTTCTGGATCAAACCAGTACTTAATTCAATAGAAGTAAAAAGGATTTTTTTACTTAAGTAACACAAAATTGGAGTTGTTGAAGTATTGTACTGTAGTGAGTCCAACTACTAGTGTATATATTTCTTGTATTTTAGAGCTGCTATATTTCATGATTTGGTCTACAAACAGACAAAGATACCATCTCAGAATCAAGAACTTATATACGAAGGTCGGCGTTTGATACTAGAACCTGGCAGACTGGCACAACACTTCCCCAGGACTACTGAGGAGAATCCTATCTTTGTAGTAAGCAGAGAGGCTGTGAACATTGTTGGATTAGTCTATGAAGAAGGTATAAAATGCCTATTTCCTCCTTCTTATAAGTACCTCAAATAGTGTTATTTAATTATCGTTTTATGTCTGGGATGGCTAAGAGTTTCAGAGAATTATCTTTGAATATCTGAATTTCTAATTAAGCAGTCCGATTAAAAATAAAGCTGAGTATCCAGCATTTTTACAGTAAGAGTAGCTGCTTGCAGTGTACCTGGTGCTGTGAACCTGAGTGTATGTGTGGTCATCTGTAGTGGTGCATATGGAGTTCTGAAGCTTTTTGAAGATGACGCTTGTAACAAGCTGAAAGGAAGTTTACAGAATGTAATTCACAGCTGGTTCTATTACACTTCTCACCAAGTGGAAATTCAAGTTCTGCTCTGTTTTATTCCTCGTGAATGTTGTTATTCTTTCTGTTAACAGTGGAGGTCTTAGCAACTTAGATTTGCATAGAAGATAATGCTGAAGAGGAAGAAAACAAACGAAAGTAAAGTTTTTACGTTTGCATCTATCACTGAGGCTCACAGTGAGCCCAGTGCCAGAGCACTTCTTTATGAGAGATGAGCTGGAGGGCATGCCTTCAGCTGAGAGATCAGTGCTGCTTTTGTCATTATGTCCTACATACTGACTGCGGGGGTCAGCTGGAGCTCACGCAGAGGTGCTGAAGAGCGTGGGTAGGAGTGCTGTCTGCAGAAGGGTCAGCAGGGCCTTTATATTGTGTCAGAACTCTCTGAAAGAGTCCATGAGCGTGAGAACAAAGGAGATTCAGCTGGTGGAGGTTACCCTGGGTTTCAAAAAGCTATTCAGTAAAGTCCAGCCCTTCGGACTCTCCATGAATGTGAATCATGAGATAAGAAGGAAGGATCTCCCACAGGGCCAAACGTGGGACTGAAGAGCAGAAATAAGTGGTTGGCTTTCACAGTGGAGAGAGATCATTAGTGGAGATCTGCATGAAATCTATGCTGTGCAGCATGTTTAAAAGTAACTTGAAAAAGGTAGTGAAGGGCATTTTGCTCTAAGTTTCACATTAAGGTGTGTAAGACTAAAGCTGTGTGTGAAAACCATGCAATATTTAAAGGCTTGGCAGTAACAGGTTAGATGAATCTCCATGTAAATGCATATGAAAATAGTGGATGGGGTGAGGAGGGTAAGCAGCTTGAGCTTAATGGAAGGACTCTGCTTTACTGTTTTCTGCTTTTCTATTCAGGAAGATCTTTAGAGTTTTAATGGAGAATTCAATGCGATCATTTGTTCAGTGCTTTGCAGTGGTCAAAACAGCAATAGGAAAGCTGAAAATGCTCAGTGAGGCTTAAGTCATAATAATCCCTCAGCATCGACATACTATGTGCCTTTACTTTTGACCTTTGAGTTCCTGGGCAGTCCTAGGCCCTCCTTCCTTCTCTTTCAGTGGTGGTACAGAAGCATTAAAACATATTCTGAGAAAAGCAACAGGGATAACTTAAAAATTGGTAAAATAGATAAATTTTCAGCTAAGAGAAAGGCAATGGGGGAGCAGAGGAAGAAGAAGCCTGAGCAATTTGCATGGGTATCTGAGCAGCATATAGAATCTTTGTAAGCATTGCTTACTTTCTCTTCCAATAGAAGAACCATAAAATGCCAAATTCATTTGTTACAGTGGCTGTTTTGTACTTGTATGTGAGGTGCTTCAATTGCACAAAGCATACTTAGACTGCAGATTTTTTGCTGTAGGTTTTGAATGTGAAAGCTTTCAGAAGGTTTCGAAAGGCTTCTGTTAAATTAATGGAAGAAAAAAATATTGAGGGTTTCATTAAGCACAAATTCCATCAGATCTCAGGAAGTCCTTGAAACACAGATAGTTTGAAGCTGGGAGAATAAGAGGGGAAATTAGATTTTTGTCCTGTTCTTACATACTTCCTTAAGCTTCTGCTGCTGTCAGCTGTGGGAGGAAACATACTGAGCTGGGTAATAGAGTTATGCTTTTTTGTATGGAGGTGCTTGATGTAGGGAAACAAAATGGGATACTTTTGAAGTTCCTTGCTTCTGACTGAGTTGTGCTTTTGAGTTTTAGTAATATTTCTTAAACATATTAGCATATCTGTTATTTTATTAAGGTTTTTGAAGTCTATTATGGATGACAGGAAGTACAGATGTTTTGTTTCTGTTTCAGTTCTGCTTCCTAAAGTGCATCAACGTTATGACTTGGATGGGGATGCCACTATGGCTAAAGTGAGTAATGGTGATTTTTAATGTGTACAGCTGTCTCACATAACGATACTGAAATGAAAACTACTTTATTCTCAGATGAACAATGTTAATAAAACTATTTTTACATGGTAGTGAGAATTCTTACTGACGGAAGTGTATTTGCTAATGAGAGGCACCAGAAATATGTCTTAATAAAGTCAGGGTTTGTATTCAAATAATTTTGTATTTGAAAAACAAAACAAAGTCTTTTAAAGTTCAAATTCTTTGCTACAGCATAATTTAGTAATGTGAGGAAAGGAGCTTGCCAATTTCAAGCCTTCTAAAACTACTGAATGTGTGCATTACCATGCTTTGATTTTGTCACAAACACTTTTGTGCCATGCCTCTAAAATGTGGCTGCTGAGGAGTTGTTTTTTTTCCCACTATGGTAATTCTAAAAGCACCTGTCTCTTTGAAAACCAACCATCTTTCAAATTAGTAAACAGAAGGCCATTATTTCATATGATTAAGAGTATTTTAAACTGTCTTTTATGAAACGTTGTTCACAATTCTCAGTGATACAGAAAACTTGTAAGGTGAAAGAACCCCTAGCCTTAAAATTGTAAAATAAATCATTTTTACTGGTTTCTTTTAGTTTATTTCCCAAACTACTGAGGAAATATACTTGTCCCTTTACAGAAGCGAAAGTAAATCCCAAGAGGAAGTGGTGTGATTTTTGTCTGTAAGAGGCTTATTTTCATCCCTAACAGATACTTTAGCATATCTGGAAAAACTCACTATTATGTTTAGCTCTGCCTCTATAATCAGTATTCCATTATTTCCTGGCTGAAGTTTGGGCAGAATTATTCATCTTTTACAACCAGCTTCACGTTGCTCTTTATTTTATTAATCGATGTTGCTTTGTTGTGATTGACTTGAAACAGCTGTAAAGAGAATGTCAGGTTAGCACTAATGTTACCTGTGTTTTCCACCAGGAAGTAACACGTATCGTGTGTTATGCCTGTAGAGTTGCCAGTTCTTTGCTGCTTTACCAGGAGCTGATGCGAAAAGGAATACGATGGCTAAAGTAAGCAATTGATTCAACTGCTGTGAACATGATTGTGATTTAATTGTGATGTACCTTGGCTTGTGATCTGCTGCCCTGCGGGGTTTCTTCTTCTCCTTGCATCCTTCTGCTTCTTAGATCATAAAGGAAACAAAGTTTTGTTGTTGTTTTTTTAACAGTAATATTTAATTATTTGCAATTTCACTTTCTCCTGTGAATAGTTAATCTTCAGCCTTTGTTAAGATGCATGTACAAGTTAGTTTTGTATGAGGATTATACCAATGTGTCTCTAAAGGAAAGCAGTTCTTAGTAGCAGTTAATTACTGTAGGTATATTATTACATAACTTGATTGCTGGTAAGGTGGCAGTTGAATGCCATTTGTTATAAACTGATGCTTTGCTTTTTAGTGAGATAATCAAGGATGATTACAATGAAATGGTTCATAAAAAGACTAAGGTTGTCATCAGACTGGATTTCTGCAGCAGAAACATTGAAAAAGCAGAGAAAATGTGAGTAGAAACAGTACACCAAATGCATTGATTTTCCTCATCTTTAATGACAATGATATTTTAAGTTATGTACATTTACAGGGTTTTTGCATTTAAAATTAAATTTGAATTAGCATGGCTGTACCGATGCATTGCTTTCACTTCAGCAGATTTAGTAATTTGTTTTACTCAAAGTAGTGTTAATTTTACTCCTTATTTTAGTGGGTACAAGTAACTACTATTAAATAGTAGTTGCACACATCCTTTTTCTATTTTCTTCCTAGTCATGCTCGTTTACTGTTGTCTTTAGGAGTTATAGCAGAGCCTGAATGAAGGATCTAGTAGTTCTCCTTTCCTGGGTGCTTTGGTGCTTTTGTCATTGAGTTTGGTTTTGTATGTGAAGGATGACTTTGAGTACTGCCACATTCACAGCTTTAAGATCTTTCAGAAAGAATTTTCATGTTGAAATATAACATGTAGCTGATATGAAAACCTATTGAATAGCTGCAGTATGATGTCGTGAGATCAGAGCGTGCACACAGGGATACCAAAATGAATTGCACAGGAGATACAACTTACACCTTTTTAATTGCCATACCATGAAGTCATGTTTGTTTTGGTTAACTCACATGACAGAGGTGTGCATCAGAGTCTCACCACTGTTTTCATTTAGGTATATGTAGTACAAGGGTTTCTTTAGAGCACTATCCTTAAAACTGTCAAAGCTTATGAAAAGGGACAGCTAATATATTGATATCTTCTAGAATAAAAGGGACAGGACCTCCAAGTTTCAAAGACTTCAGAAGAATTGTGACACTTGCTTTTCTTGTCTTCCAAGCTCTAGAAGCAAATGTTTTCCAGTGGTCAAAGACTCTTCTGTCCTACCTCTTTCAAATAGTATCCAGGAGATGGAATTGCAGCATTGAATTCTCCAAGTTCCGTTTTTTCTGTCCAGACTTTTGTTGCATCTCTTAATCTCACTCAGTGTCCAATTCTATCCCTTTTCTTTCCGGTACCTTTTAAAAAAGTATTTTGTTCAGTCTTTCTTGGCTCCTTCAGTAGGATGTATTCTTCCTAGGCAGTTTGATATTAGTAGTTTGCAGTAGCTTGCCAAGCTAGCAGTTTGGCTAGTAGTTTTCCCACCTACTGGCAGTGTTCCCTGAATGCTGTCTTAGCCACAGGTTTCAGTAAGCTTGCTTCCCAGCTGGTCTGAAAATAGAAATGCCCACAAGATAATTAATGCCCACATGTACAGTCATGTTGGAGTGTTCTGCACTTACAAATTGAATGGCTTGTATGTAGTAATTGTGAATACCAAAGGATTTGTCAGGCTTGATCTGTACGTGCCAAACACTTCTGAGTTTTGAGGACCTTGCTTTAAAAAACAACAGCGAAGTTGGTAACTGGTGAGACCGTGGTAAACCTTAGTAGCCTTGTTACAAATCACCAGGGCTGTACTGCAAACTCCCTTCAAGCCAGTTTATGTAGCTAACAGCATTGGTTCCTGTTTACTCTGTTTGGGTCAGATGTTTTTTTCAGCCATGTCCTGCAGGTGAATGCCACTTGCTGCTCAGAAGAAATCGCTGTCGTTTCTTATATATGACTGTGATGTATTCAGTCAAACCTCAGAGCAGCAGTTTGAAGGAAAATTACATTCTTTTGCAGACTGGAGTAGTTCTCTTGTGAACAGAAATTTGCTGTGTATTTGCACGTTTTTTCAGCAGGCTTTCAGTCGATTTCACTTTAGAGGACTCTCACAGAGCGAGCAAAAGACAAATCCTCTTGTTCTCCTTTCTCAAGGCTCTGCCACAAAGCATGACAATACAGAGCTTTTGTCTGAAAGGTAAACGGAGTATTCGCCTTGAGCAAAGTATGCATTGTTTGAAAGTAGCTGAACTGGTTCTAATGGTGTTCTTAATAAAATGTGCCCAATACTCAGCAGGAACAAATAACCTCCTAAACGATTTATTAAACACTTGAACTATGGTCATATGGAAAGTATCAATTGCTTGGCCCAGCCTTTAATGTTTGGTAACCCAACCTTTCCAGATATGTTTCTGCAGAAGAACATCTTGGTGCACTGTTTTGTTGCACCATTGACTACCTTAAGAATCTTTAGTTTGGTAACTTCCTAAAAGTGATTTGATGATGAAAATAGTTTTCTGCTGCCTTCTGAATGCAGGTAATGGGAGTATGATGAAGAATTTCTCAATAAACGTTTCAAATTCATTTTTAGCAATTCAAAGGTAGAAAAAAATTCAAGGAATTATTTTTTTCTTAAGAAAAACGTTTTCATTTCTAATGGTTGCTTTAGGTTGTCTGTCTTTCGTAGTTGTTTGATAAATACTGTATTTCATATAGAAGAAGTGATTGCTATTCTTAATATTTAATTTCAAAGAATATTTTGAGTGAATCCGTTACTCATTCGATTTTTTTTTTTTTTTTTTATAAACATGCTGTTTGTTATGATCAGATATGAGAATTTGATGCAGATCAACTTGGAGTCATCAGAAGTGGATGAAATTTCAGAGATAAACACGAAATTGTTGCGTGTAAGTATTTTACAAAGCCCACGGTATTCTCAAAATGGTGGTCTAGAATTACAAACCAGTAACACAGGTTTTTCTGTATTTTCCAAGTAATTTCTGGACTGCTGAAGATTGTTAAGATGCCTCTGCTGAGATACGGATACCTTTCTGCAAACACTAAATCCTGTCATTAGTTCACTGTAATGAAAATAGTGTCATCCCTGCCAATCCAATTCCATTTGCTACATTTCACTTAAGTGAAAAATTATAACCACTAAATGTATTTTTCTGTTTCCTTAAATGATTTTGAACTGCTAGTTGGCTTTCTGATGTGATACCCACACAGGCACGCTTCAGAATGTTTGCTCTGTTTTGAAATTTGTATTAAGTTTTCAGACGAGGAAAAATTGAAAGTAACTTCACACTTTTTCCCAGGATGTCAGTCTATAAAGTTCACTGTTCCAGAAAGAAAAAGGTGATCACTTTTTTACTTTGGAGGTTTTCTGAACTGTGGGGAAGGAAATGTATGAACGACATGTAGTCATTATGTGAACTCTTAACAAACTAAAATAACTAGTGGAGAAGTAAATAGGGAATTTAGGAAAGGTAAATTCTTAAAGCCTCTGAACGAAACTAGGTATTAACTAATGGAAACACCAGCTTCAGTGAAGAAAGCTTTGTAGTTCTTTAATGAAGTTAAACAAATGGATATTGAGGCACTTGGTCTGTTTTCAGCCTAAATTAATTTTTCACTTGGCCCAGGAGTACAATTGCTTGAACTTTCTTGCTCTTACATAGCTCTCCAGCTCTCAGGGCACAATAGAAACAAGTCTTCAAGATATCAAGACCAAACTTTCTCCTGGTGGTTTACTAGCTGACACCTGGGTGAATCAAGAAGGCACACATCCAAGAGACAGAAAGTGAGTAACTGTATCAACTCTTTTAATGTAGGTTAATTCTACGTTGAGTTGCAGTCCATAAAGCTCATTAATAGCTACTTGAGTTTGTAGATCTAATATCTTGTTATTTTTGTCATTCTAGTCCTGAAAGGCTGCAGACACTGCTATCTTCCATCACAGAAATTTACTATCAGTTCAAAAAAGACAAACAAGAACGAAGTAAGTAATTGATTTGATTCATTTTTAATGTAAGCTGTAATGTAAATGGCAGGTCAGTCCTTGTTCTACTTGGACATTTGTGGTAGCAATGAGGAGTTAGTCAGCAACAGTAAATGTGTGTGTAGGCCTTTCTTAGTTATCTTCTTAATGCCCATATGAACGAAACGCTGCTTTTAATATTAGAGATTTGAATTCCAACAAAGGAGGAGGAAAAAAAAAGTAAATTATTGCTTTTACTTATCAAAACAAAAGAAAAACATACCGAAAGTGGATAAACTAAGTGAAGTTTTACGTAAATACAACTAACAGAACTAAACTAGTAATGTCTCTTGTCTGCTTGATCCTAGGGCTTCCCTATAATGAAGAACAAATTCACAAGTTTGACAAGTAAGTTCTGAAGTTAACTTTGGGAAACAATTGCTTTCAGGTGCTCTTGGTGATAACGTCTCCTGTGGATTATTGCTGCACATTATATCCTCTTTAAAATTTCTTCCTTAAAAAAGATACGTATTTTTTAAATATCTTAAATACATGGAGTGCCAGCATACTTCAGTGTGATGCTTTCTGGCATGGAGTTCTTTCACATACGTTCCTTTTAAATGCAGATGTTCTTTATCGGAGCATAATTGCTTTATAGAGAACTCCTTTTTGTCCTGTTTGCTACTGAGATGAAAATATTCCAATGGTTATCATGCAACAGTTAATGAAGCAATAGAAGCAGCTGTTAGACTGTACTCCTCAGTATTCCACTATCCCTTAGTTTTACTTCCTGGTGCAATGCCTAGGATAGTAGGCAGCTCCATTGGAACTACTGTCTGCAGTGCTAACCAGAATTCAGGTTTGTTTTGTTCTCCTGTCTTCTGTGATGTTTTTCTTGTCATTACCTTAAGCTAATACAGAATTCCAACTTATTTATTCCAAGGATATCACTCAGCACAAAGGATTATTTACAAATGTTGGATGTTCCAAGTATCTGTAGAAGGCAACTAAATAATAAGGGATTCTGTTCTTTCCATTTAGAGTCCCTTTCCCTTGAATATACCTGCTCAGATAAATGCTGACTGCAAAAACACATTTGATCAATTATTCATATGCAAATACTTGCAATTTCTCCCTGCCAAGGAATGTTTCTGAGATAACCTGTCAGTTCATGCTGCTTTTTGAGTTCTCATACATTACAGTGGCATGAATAAAGTTGATCTGAAGGGATTTTAAATCTGCATACTTGTTGTTGGTTGTTGTTTTGAAGGAAGTTCTGAAAGCAGTATGGCACTCTTATCGTTTCTGTGTTGCAGGCAGAAGCTGTATTTGCATGCTACCAAAGCCATAGCTCTGTTCAAAGATGAGTGTGTCAGCAAGTATGATGCATTTCTGGACAAGGCTGAGGACTGGACAAGGCAAGTTTTTTTAATTTCTTTAGTATTTGGTAAAGTGCATCAGTTTAAAAAAAAAATATATATATATATATGTATATATATATGTATATTAAAAGAAAACTACTACTTTTCTCATTTAGGAAAATGCTTCACACAAGAAAGCAGTTGCTGGCTCTCACCAACCAGTGTTTTGATATTGAAGAAGAAGTATCCAAATACCAGGATTATATAAATGAGGTAAAAATTCTTCTAAATTACGGAAAGGCTTTGCAAAAATAAGATTTTACGTTGTTTAATATTAATGCTGTTTATAGTGAGTTGTACTTAATGCAGTTGCATTAAAATACAGGCTTGATGGGTGATGCTCGGCTGAACATGAGCTGACAGTGTGCCCAGGTGGCCAAGAGGGCCAACAGCATCCTGGCCTGCATTAGAAATAGTGTGGCCAGCAGGAGCAGGGAGGTGATCATCCCCCTGTACTCAGCACTGGTGAGGCCGCACATCGAGTGCTGTGTTCAGTTCTGGGCCCCTCACTACAGGAAAGATGTTGAGGTGCTGGAGCGTGTGCAGAGAAAGGCAACGAAACTGGTGAGGGGTCTGGAGCACAGGGCTTATGAGGAGCGGCTGAGGGAGCTGGGATTGTTCAGTGTGGAGAAGAGGAGGCTCAGGGGAGACCTCATTGCACTCTGCAACCTCCTTAAGAGAGGTTGTGGTGAAGAGGATTTGGCCTCTTCTCCCAGGCAACGAGCAGGACACGGGGTAATGGCTGCAAGTTGTATCAGAGGAGGCTTAGGTTGGACATAAGGAAGAACTTCTTCTCTCAGAGAGTGGTCAGGCACTGGAATGGCTGCCCAGGGAGGTGGTGGAGTCGCCGTCCCTGGCAGTGCTCAAGAGGCGTCTGGACGACGTGCTGCGTGATGTGGCTTAGTGCTTGTGGTGGCAATGGTGATGAGGAGACGGTTGGACTGGATGATCTTATAGGCTGTTTCCAACCTTGTGATTCTATGATTCTATGAAAACACTACTCTCATTCAAGATCAGGGAATACACACTCAAGGACTCATGCTAATGTAATGCTGCTGGTGTCATGGAAGAAAAAGTTCCATTAAAATTTGGACAGTGGCTCTGTTGGATGCAAACTTACCAGAATTACCTCAAAACTGAAAGAATGAGAAAAGCCTTTACTCTTTTCTGTGTAACTTTCATGAGATGTGAAAATCAGACTTAGTATCATGTTCCCATATCAAAACCTAATCTCAGTCTAACCTAAAAGAGTATCTTGCAGTCAAGAAGGAAGCCAGTTATTCATTAGAATCCTCTTCCCTTAGGATATCTAAGAACATAACAAATAAATAATTCTTCCTTATGAGTTTATTACAAAAGCTTGAGGCTCTTAAGAAGATGGAACAAATCAGAAAACGGAAGGTCATGTCTGTAAAGATCTTGCCACGATGATCTCATGCCTTACTGCTGCAGTGATTTTGTGAAGTATCTCAGCAACAGAGAATTGAAAAATAGAGAATATCAAGAAGCATATCACAACTTGTATTTTAACTTACACTTCCTTTTTATCTATTGCAGTTACAAGATGCTCTGCCTCAGAAAATGTTTGCAGCTTCCACTGGGATGAAACATACCATGAATACAGTTTATCCAAGTTCAAATACATTAGTAGAAATGACTCTTGGGTGAGAATTTATTAATTGAATGGCCATCATATTCCGTACCTATTAGACAGATAGATTGAAAAGAATGCTTACAGTTGGCTGTGTGATTGCTCTGCTAAGGCTAAGAATGATACAATTATTCAATTACTGCAGAAAAAATAACTGTTTTGCTGAAGCAGCAGTATGGATTTGGAAATGAGTAAAGGACAACATTAATAATCATCCATTACTTTTAGTAAATAACCAACCTGATCTGTGTCTCTTGTTTTGTATGTAATGACAAGTTGCTGAGAGTTTTGTGATGATGAGTGATTGTACTAGACAGCTGTCTCTATAAAAATTGTAACCTTTTGCTTATTCTTACTACAGTATGAAGAAACTAAAGGAGGAAATGGAAGGGGTTGTTAAAGAGCTGGCTGAGAACAATCATATTTTGGAAAGGCAAGCAATTGTTTTTCATTTTGGGGCTGTTAGTAGGAGCAAGCTTAATTTGGTACAGTTTGTAGATCAAAAATGCAAACTAAGGGGCAGTTCTGTCCCCTAATCTAACAGTAAATAAATGTTCACCTGCTGATCTGAAGTGCAACAAAAGCCATTCTTCACAACTTTGAAACATAGCTGTGAAAACATTCTGACATAGCAATCAGGACATTTTTAATGTCACACAGGTTTAGCTAATAGAAATACTTGTTGCACAGAGGTTATTTCCAAATGTAAACGCAGTGTTTTTGCAGCAGCCCAGTATGTTCTTTTAACTTTTCACTTTTAGATAACATTTTTAACAGCTGTGGAATTCTACCAATGTGACTCAATGATTTAGCTGTTTTCAGATTGCTTAAATATAATGAGGAGTTTTCATCATCACGTACAGAATGCTTGTGCTTTTTTTTTTCTCTAACTGGCGATAAAATATATGAAAAATAATGATTTCTTAAAAGTTTCAGGTTAAATTGTTGGTAGAGCTGAGCTTAGCTTCAAGATGAATTTTTTTGTTCCCTACCCAAGTCCTGTACTTGGAGCGTAGTAGCCTTTTTCTGTCTTGTTGTCAGGGACAAAAGTTAGATATAAATGCATGTGTCAGCATGTGACAAGGGAGAGGAAAAGCCCACAAGTAAATTACAGTGAAGTAAGGATTAACTGATTCTGTATTTGATTTATTCAATCACCTAAGAATACACTGCTTTTTCCTTTTAGATTTGGTGCTTTGACTGCAGATGGTGGCCTGAGGAATGTGGACTGTATCTAACTTTCAAAGGACCTGAAGATTTGTACATTTTTCAAAGGGAAAAAATACTGTTGGGACATTTTAAAGCAGATAATAAATCTGTATCCAGTTTTTTTTCTCTGCAACTGTAGTATTAAAAAAAAAAATGTAAATATGTATAATATGTAAATATAGAAGAAATATATATCTTTTTTTGTCAGCGTTTAGGGTAGAATTAATTCTGGCAGGGAATTTAATTCTTGGAGGATTTCTGACGTAGTCCAGAAGGCAAAAGTGTTGTTGGTGAAGTTGACATTTGTTTGGTTTTAATATTGCCCCTTTTTCAGAATGCAGTTTGCTCGTTATTGCAAGAGTAACCTATAGAAGTCTAAAAATCATGATTAATCTTTAAAGGGTGTCTTGGATTTCCTTTAACCACTCACAACAAGAAAGACATCGAGGCCTTGGAGTGTGTCCAGAGAAGAGCAGTGAAGCTGTGAAGGGTCTGGTACACAAGTCTTATGGGGAGAGGCTGAGGGAGCTGGGATTGTTCAGTCTGCAGAAAAGGAGGCTCAGGGAGACCTTGTTGCTCTCTACAATTGCCTGAAGGGAGGCTGTGATGTAGTGGGGATCAACCTCTTCTCCCATGTAACAGTGATAGGACAAGAGGGAATGGCCTCAAGTTGTGCTTGGAGAGGTTCAGGTTGGACGTTAGGAAATACTTCTGTGAGAGAGCGGTGAGGCATTGGCACAGGCTGCCCTGGTAGGTGGTGGAATCAATGTCCCTGGAGGTGTTCAAGAAGCATTTTAGATGTTGTACTGAGGGACATGGTTAGTGGGAAATACTGCTGATAGGTGGACGGTTGGACTGGATGATCTTAGAGGTCTTTTCCAACCTTGGGGATTCTATGATTCTGTGATTCTGTTACTTTGGAAACTAGCTGAATGACTCTAATCATCCCAAAACAGGAGAGCTGTTCTAAATTATCTCTCTTTAAAAAGTGTGAATGGAGACTAAAAGCACAGACAAGACAGAGTGGAAACACATTTGTCTTCACGTGCATATTAGTTCTCTTCTATGGGAAAATAAATTCACAGTATTTTTTGTTTTTAAGTCCTTACCCATATTCAGTGCCACGTTGTCGCTCTGTATGTGGAAGTTTGATACTGCAGGCGTCAGACTGAATGTAGAAACTCCTTTTGTAGAGTACAGTACTTTGAGTGTTCCTGAAATCTTGTTGCTCACTACAAGAGAAGTGGGTTCTTAAAATAAGATTGTTTTTTTTTTCAGAATCCTCTTTGTAGACATAATTTTTAAAGGTTAGAAACAGATATTACAGAGATTTTTTAGGTGGTGAGTAGAATAGAGAGCATTATGCCTCAGTGGCAACTGAACGTTAGAAAAAATAACGTAACCAGTCCAGTTCTTGGAAAAATGAACCCACCCACTGCCAACTTATGTATTTTTCAACATTACATTGATAACCCCTTGCAGTTTCAAAGGCTCTTAATTTTGAAAGAAACTGAGCGTTAGTTGGATATGTGATTCTCAACGTCCTTTATACTGAAGCAATCTGAATAGGAAAGCTCATTGTGATAACAATATTGTCTGTATATTGAAATACATGCAGCATTCTTTTTTATGGTTGAAACTGATTTATGTTCTACTATGTTCATTTTAAACATGGCTGGTTTTAGTGTTGCTAAATACATTGATGATCTTAATCTTGTTAAAATTACTTTAGATAAAGTAATTTTAACTAAGCACTAGCTAAAGAAGTAATCAGTTCATGATTTACTGATTACCTTCTTATGAAATCAATATACTTTTCCTGTTGAGGTGTGGCACATGATACCATGGAACTCTTGGCTCATACTAAGTGTCCTGATGCTATCAGTCATGCTACTGATTTGCCAAAAGAAGTAATAGAAAGTAATATATGGTTCTTCCTCCTGAAGCTGGTTTGCTTTTTGGGGGGTTTAGCATAGTATATTAATTATCTGTTACTCAAACAAATCTGTCGTCATATGAATTGTGAAAATGCATGAGTGAATGACTTAAATACATCATCAGCCTCTTACCGTGGAGCGTGTCCTTCTTTGTCTTTCCATAATTTTGCTTCTTCTCCATTTCAGTGTTACCTTGTAATGTTTATTTCCCCGTACCCTCATAAGCCTCAAGTCTGACGTAGCGAAGCGCAGCATAGATCTGGCATTAGTCGGCTGTCCTGAAGTGGTGTCCCAAACACCAGAATGACTGGCAGGGCTGCTAGGAGAGCCAGTCCTGCCTTGTACTTTATAACCGCTCTGCTAACACGTGTTCTGATGAAAATGAGCTCTCTGTGAGAGTGACAAAATTCTTAGGCTGTGAAGTCCTCTTGTCAGCTCTAATTGGACTAAAGCGCTGTAATAGCGGTAATCATAGAGTAACATCGGCTATAGTGCTACGATAAGGGTTTAAAAGGCTGAATGGAAGAGGGTGGGCGGTTTTTTTGTTCGTTCTTTTTAAATCCTGAAGAGAATTCTAAATCTAGAAGAGGGGAGGTGCGTTAATCTCACTTCTGCGTACTTTTTCCGCTGGCCGCAGCAATCGCCGCACACCCGGTGCTCCTCGTTCCTTCGGCACCGGCTCCCAGGCGTCCGTGCGGGCCCCTCCGGGCTCCTTCGCCTCCCCCTGCTCTGGGCACAGCGGTGGTAGCGCTGCGGCACTGCGGAGCGGAGAGAGAGGGCTGCGGGGCCGGACTGCTCCCGACTCTCCGGAACCCTCCTAAGGGAACCCGGGCTCGAAAAACGCCGTCGCTAAAAGCGGCGTATTATGGGATGTTCGCGATGCTCCGCAGCCGCCCCCTGCGCGCCGCGCGCGGTGTCACTTGTAACGGGCTGAGGAGCGCCGGGCGCGGCGCCGCGCCTCCCGCACGCAGCCGTGCCCCGGCGACGGCGGGCAGAGCCGCGCTGCCGGGCCGCTCCGCTCGACGGCTCTCCGGAGGAGCGCGCATGGCGGCGGCCCCGGGGGGACCCGGCCCCGACCTCGGCTCCGACCCCGGCACCTCCAGCGGCCGTCCGGCGCCGCCGAGCGCCCCGCACCGCTTCGTGCCGGCGGCGGCGGGAGCGTGGTGCGACCTCTGCTGCCGCTTCGTCGTCTCGCAGGGCCTGCGCTGCGCGGGTGAGCGGCCCCCGACCCTTCGCTCCCTTCTCTCCCGTCCTGTCCTGTCCCTCCGATACCGGGTGGGGGCTCGCGTGCTTCGTGGGCGGGAACGGAGCAGCGGTGGCCGCGTCCTGCCCCGCTGGGAGGTGCCTCGGGCCGCGCCTCGGCGGGGTATTTCCTTCCGTTGGGATGCGCGGCGGGCAAAGGTGGGCGTTTCTTTCACCTCTCAGAAGGCAACTTTCCTGTTTTGCAGCCATCTACCTGTCACCCAAACGCACCTTGTTTTGTTTTTGGTGCTTTCGCCAAGCGTAAGGAAAAAGTCCAGCGGGAAAAGACCTTCCCACGTTGAGGGCTCTGTGAGACGTTCTTCATAGCTTCAATCCCCCCCAAAGCCCCGTAAGGACGTGTTTGAGGATAACCGAGCACTGCCCGTAGCAGAGTGCTGTGACGGGGTGGGCTTTGCCTTCTGTCCTCACTGTTAGAGGTGGGCGCTGACACCTGGCCCAGGGCAAGAGGCTGCATGCTCTGGCTTAAGGAGATGTGGCAACTTCAGGTTGTCCTCTGCTAAGGTACAACACTCTTACAAGGTTCCTATCGTTACCTTCTGCAGCTCTGTTCTTACAGTTAATACTCTGAAAGGAGATACTAGTGATGTGAAAATACAGTTTTTAAAAATGTATTATTATTCAAGTTCTCGCATCGTTCTGACAGGATGTGTGAGTACACTTAGGTGAAAGTAGACCTTAAGAATCCTATTATTTTCTTTTACGGTTGACTGTTCTGTGGCAAGAGCCCTCAAGTGTCACGTTGGATTATGCATCTTCCAGCAGTGTTTTCTCAGCACGATTACGGCTCGCACTGCTTTTCTTTCTCCTCCGTGACAAGCTCCATTTTTATCAGCCGTAGTCCTTGCGGCTGCTCTCTGGTGAAGTAGCAGAGGGAGCATTCAACATTTATAGCCTAGCATGAATATAACATTTAAAAGCCATAAAATGGTACGGAGAAGAGAGGGAGCGGGAGCGAAGTCACGCACAGATCGCTGCTTGAGCCCGAGTGCTTGCTGGCACCCCGCAATCTGAGTGGGTGGACCCAAATGGCTGAAAAATTGGTGCAGGGCAACAAATCCCCACCTGTACCAGCCCAGTTCAAAGGCTCTTCATCTAACCCGGCTGTAGGGGTGGTAGCAGGCTGCAGGGCTGCAGCAAGGCTGGTGACACCTGCTGGAGAAGCTGTGGTACTCGTCAGCAACCCTTGAGAAGCAGAAGCCACTGCAGGAGATGCAATGGTAATTCCTGGCAGAGGCTTTGAGCTGCTTGGCAGGTGCGGCAGTGCTGGGAGGTCTCCAGGTAGTTCTGGGCAGTGGTAGGGAGCTTCGCTGCCTCATCTAAAAAGCAGAACGTCAGCATCTTCCAGGCAGCCTGCAGCAGATAAAGAAGAAACTGCGCACTGAATTGTCACAAGGATTCTGAGTCGGAGAGATGAAGGTATTACTTGTACTTAGATCACCCTGTTTGAGTCAGCACTCAGTAGCCAGCTGCCCTCAGATGAGACCGGAGTCAGAGGTGCTGACCAGGATGGTAAGCACTGAAAGCAGTGAGGAGTTCCCCCTGGGACATGGGGACAGTCAGAGGGGATGCTAGGGGGAGAATGTGGAAGTTGAGATGAGCAGAGCTCTGTCTCAGAGGAAAGAGCTGCGATGTCCCTATGGGGTGGTGGCACAGCATTATGGCAGGGCTGGGCTCTGCCATCCTCGTTTCACAGAGGGGGAGGGCCGGGGTCATCTCTGGGGTTCCATGTGCTTCTTGATATGTGTGATAAAGTGCAGTGAATGAGGAACCACCAAGAAAAGGATCCTTCTGCTTCTCGTGCTATTTTGGTGTGGAATTCATCAGTTGGATTTCCAGCTTCTGCTAAAAATTGGAAAAATACTTTCATATAACTCAGGGAAGAATGATCAGAGTGGAAAAAAAGAGTTCAAGGAGATCAATGACCATCTGTTAA